GAGTACGAAATCACGAATGCTTTCAGAAGTAATAGGTCAGCAGTGTCAAAGGAATCCTCTTGTCAGTAACAGTTTTTAATGAAATAAAAGATGTAAAAACAAGGAGTTTTTTTTAAAGAAATGTCCAATTTCTGCTGCAACTTAGTTTCTTTTGTGATTAATTTCTTCCCCAGACTTCCTCATATGAAAGCTGTGGGTATGCCCCAGGGGAAGTAGACCATGATGCTGATGAGAAGAGCGCCATCCCCTCCTTCAGCCTGGAGAGAGAGAAGATGGAGGACAAGATCCTATTGGACTTCACAGAGATGGTTCATGAGAATGTCAAGGAGAGGAAGTAACTCAGATAGATGCCAGTCCTCCCCTCCATCACTGAGGAGGAACAGCTTCCAAGATTGCATGAGGGATCCTCATCAGAATCGTAGGCACTGATTCACAAAAAGGCAAGGAAAGGACTCAGTCTTCTCAGAGATGCAGTTCCTTGCTTCCACCTTAGTGATGGAGCATTTGTACACTACTCAAGGATCAAAGGATCATACGTGGTTATTAATAATTTGAACAATTGGTATTCACATCGCAAAAATGAGCGTCATTTAATTTAGCTATTTTCTGGCATCAAAACAAGAAACTTCCACTACAGAGTACTGAAGTCTCATGACATTGAAAAAAAAAAAATTAGTTAGCACCTTGTCCAGGTCCTTCACAGCCCTGAAAATGATGTCTAAAAAAATGAGTTTTAACCAAGTAGTGTGAGGGCACTGTTTATGAGCATATTCTGGTAATGTGAGGGCACTGTTTATGAGCGTATTCTGGTAATGTGAGGGCACTGTTTGTGATTCTCAATCACAGAAATGAAGCACTTTGAAGATATATCTCAGCATGAAAAATTACATGTAACTATTGAGACCCTTTTATTCAGTAAAATAATGAAATGCATGTCTGTTTACAAATCTTCCCCCAAATCACACATTTTTGTAATTATCTGTAAAAAAAATCAGATTTGTGGTTGCCAGGACATAAAAAAACAGCTTCAGAGTTTTCCAAAACCTAGATACAAAGAGGTCCAATATTTCAGTCATTTTTTCTCAAAATGTCCTGAAGTGAGACAGATACGTGTACATCATTTTACCACAATAGGGTTGTAAAGTACTGGCCAGTCTCATGCCATTGTACCCCCCCCCACTCTCTAAGACACTCCCAGTCTCTCACCCCCTTGCCTTAGAGTCACCCCATCCTTAATCTATGTGCAAAGAGAGTGACAGGTGGCCATTTTGAAGTTGTGCTATACCTAAGCAATACACATTACCCAATTCTTCTTGGGCTCTGAAACACGACTAACCAATTGCATCGTCTCACTTTCTATGGTGCTCAACCGAACATGAACATGAGCTTCAGTGTACAATAAGTAAAGTCAATGAGGTACACACCTGGCTGAAAATTTTCAAAGACAAATGTCTGATCCTTTAATTTTTCTGAGTAGTGTATATTGGTATACTGTACAACGCTGCTATAATGAACAGGGCAGGGACCATACACAATGCTTGGTGTAGCATACCTCCCCAACTACTGCGATTTTATTTGTACTGTTCCAGTCTTCACATTTTCATCGCCCTAAAAATCAAAATGTTCTAATTTCCATAAAAAAGGGGAAAAAGTCCTGGCAAAAGAGGGCGCTAAAACAGAGGGGGATGCTATTTGCAGAGAAAAGAGGGTGTTATTTCCTATGTTGATATGTCAGTTGTTATACATACACACATACGTGTGTGTTTTTGTTCTTGTAAAACAGATTCTCTTGTGCGGCTGCTGGTTTTGCTATGGGCTCATAACAAGGCCATTCCAATTTCGGAGTTTGACGTCTTAACTTTTCAGTCACTGTCATCAGTCCTAATTTTTTTCTTTAATTTAAAGGAAAATTTGTGATGTTCGGTAAAAGTGCACAGAAAATTTGGGAGCCAAGAGGCATGTTCCGTATACCGAATTTTTCAGTATAGTGACGTTGTACTGTACTTAATCCAAACTATTCATGACTTAAGAGGTACTCTGTAAATTGAATAGACAATTGGTCGGTTTGCTTTTGAAGAAAGACTATTGTTTGCCTTGAATTTTTTTCTTTTCATCGTAATGCATTGACTTGTATTAATCCACATTTTAAAAATTCCAGTTTACATTTAAGTTATCAAGATGCTTTACATGTACTTCAAAATTTGCAAACAATTACCATTTGGAAAGACTCTAGACACTTTGATACTACTTTTTTTGAGGACTAAAAGCTTGTAACTCTTGCATGCATTTAAACATTGAATGGTGTTCCCGTTCAGGCAGCAAGAATACCAGGACTGTTCAGTCAACGAAGTGGCTATTCTGAACCTCAGTTTTAGCAAGTTTGCCCCCCGAACAGAGATATTGACAAATGGGAAGAACCACCGACATAGGGCTGGGTAGCTCAGTTGGTAGAGCACTGGTACGGTGTTCCAGAGGTCAGAGGTTCAAATCCCGCTCCAGTCAATTTCTTTGTTCATCTTTATAATTTTTTCCTTGGACAAAATTCTATCTCCATTTTGTATTTTCCAAGTTGTACATCCACATTGCCAGAGCATTAGAAAAAGTCGTTCACTTGAAATTATCACAAAATGCAAGTCGCAAATTGTTGGCTCAGTGCTGAAAGGTTGTTACTGCAAAAATGTAAATTTTGAAACCACTCTAAGGGTCTTTCTCTGTGCACGAAAGAAATATTTGATTTAAACAGTTTAAGTTGAACCAATTTGTTTTCCAAATTAATGTCTAAAACAATATTTTCACTGAACACCTTTTAGTGCATTCTAAGGATCTACACTAACATGAAATTTGTTTCATTTGAAAATACCGGTATTACCTTGCAAAAATGCTTTGCGTGTATGTAAAACAATCACCATTTATTGCTATAACCAGTTAATTTCTGTTTGCAAGTGAAATAAATGCTCATTTATTTAAACTAGCAGAACAACTTGTTTGTACATGTATACCTATTTGTAAAACTGTATTACTTTGCCACTTACCCCTTCTCCTAATCTGAACCATTTCACACTGCCAGAGTTTAAGGAACATCTGTTTCCATCTTTAGATTTTACATTACAGCCTCATCCTACAGTGAAGCCCTGCCAGTCTTAACATCTTCCAAGCTCCTTATATAGAGGTCCCTCATGGAGCCTTTTAGTCTCAATCTTATAAGGGCTACAATAAACCCAACAGTAATGTGGCACAGTAATATGGCACATTAAGAAGCCATGTCCTTCAACCCCATGGGATCCTCAGAGCTCTAATACTGATAGTCCCAAGCCCTCAGCCATCCACTCTACCCTTCCTATCAGCTCTCAGACTTCCAGCCCCTAGGCCTTCCACCCTTGCCTATCTCCAGTACAGAGTTGGGCTGAAAAATATTCTAAGTCCAAACAATAGAAGGTTTAACATTTAGAAACGAGCACATTTCTTCAAGAAAGTGCCGTGGCATAGTGGTTAAGGACACTAACTGCAATGCACAAGGACCTGGGTTCAATTCCAGGTAGGCATGCAC